TGGGGATTCGAACCCACCACCTTAGGTGTACGTGGCTGGCGCCTTAGCTGGTTGAGCTATAGGCGCCGAGCCTGAGCCCTAGTTTTTTGTTTGGACTTTTGTTTTAAAAACTAATGAGGCTTCTGCCATACTTTGCACAGACATACACATGTTTCCCCCTGTTTGGTTGACATCTCCTAAGGTGTCATTTTCCATTGGTGTCTGAAGGGTTTCACATTTAAGTGGCTCCATGTATCATGTCATGTTTAGGAACCTCAGCCCTTCCCACATAGATAGCCTCTTAGGATGGTTTGATTTCTGCTGTCATAGCAGCAGACTTCCTTGTAAATTCATGGGAAAGGGCTGATTCTGGTGCTTACCTGGGGTGGATCCCCTAAGGCAGTGGCTGGTCTCTGTGTGGTTGAAGCATGTGCTGCATGGGGGCTGCCAGGCTTTTCATAAGTGTATCTGAGGGGTGTTGTAGAGGGCTGGGCCCTTCCCTGGTGGCCCCCTGGTCACCTGCTGATCTCCCTAGGAGAAGAATGCGCAGCTGCTAGGCACGGCTCAGCAGCTACTCAGCCACTGCCAGGCACAGAAGGAGGAGATCAGGAGGCTATTCCAGCAGAAGCTCGATGAGGTAGTGGCTGTCCCACCAATGTCTGAACCAGGATGGGGTGGGGTGGGGAACTGGGACAGCTGGGGGTGGCCTAGACCTGGCACATTTCCCATCTGGCCTCCATGCCATTATGAGCTAATCCTCCAGACAGGAGTAGCCTTGGGTCTCGGTAGCTAAGTTGGGCCCCGAGTGCCCACTACCTGTGTGTCTTTTAATCTGCAGCTGGGTGTGAAGGCTCTGACCTACAACGACCTGATCCAAGCCCAGAAGGAGATCTCTGCACACAACCAGCAGCTTCGGGAGCAGTCAGAACAGCTGGAGAAGGACAACAACCAGCTGCGCAACCAGAGCCTGCAGCTGGTGGGTTCTTACTGGGTGGGGTGGGAGACTTAGAATATCATAGAGTACACAGGGGCAGGGAGGGTGGCTCTCCCTGAGCCTCCCTCTCTGGTTCCTCTATCCCTACTTTGTCCTGAGACTGCCTGTACAGTTTCTAAAACTCTGGCAAGGTGTTAGAGTTGGGGGCCTGGGCCCTGCCCAAAGGTCTTACTGTCTTTTTAGCTCCCCAGGCTCTGCTCCCTGCCTGGGCTCCTGTGGGTCTGCAGAACTGGCACAGATCTGTGCAGCCTCTCCTGTAGTGACTCATGATGTATGGTGCTGAATGGCAGCAGCCTTGCTTTCTAGGCCATGGTGTTGGCTCATGTACCTGCCTCTCCCTGCTTTTCCCAGCCCCACTGCAGCACTGAGGTCATGTCTGCACGTTTTAAAGGAGCCTTCTGGAGCCGGCCCTGTGCTATAAGCACACAGGCTCCTGGCTACCCGAGGGATCCCCACCCCCTTCTCTCCATGACCATGCAAGGTGTGCCAGCATGCCAGGCTTATTGTTGCAGCTATCCTGTCCTTGACCCTACAGCTCAAGGCTCGGTGTGAAGAGCTGAAGCTGGACTGGGCCACACTGTCCCTGGAAACGCTACTGAAGGAGAAGCAGGCTCTGCGGAGCCAGATCTCAGAGAAGCAGCGGCATTGCCTGGAGCTGCAGGTTGGCAAGCGTGGTGGCAGGGCAGTGGATAGAGGGACATTCCCTGATGCTGTGCCTTGAGCTGTGGGCACCTCGTGCTCACTGTACTGGGTTCCTGCGCACCATGTGGGAGGTTCCAGCTTGCTATTATCCCCTCATTTGGTGACTCAAGGCTCCTTTGGCTGAGTACTCTGATGCTAAACCTGCGATCTCCTGGCCACCTTCTAGTAAATAGCTTCTGAAAGAGTTACCAAAGAATTTGCTCCTTTTTTCTTTTTCTATTTCTTTTTTTTTTTTTTTTTTTGAGTCAGAGTCTCAAACTGTAGCCCTGAGTAGAGTGCCTTGGCCTCATAGCTCACAGCAACTCCAACTCTTGGGCTCAAGTGATCTTCTTGCCTCTTTTAGTAGAGACAGGGTCTCACTTTGCTCAAGCTGGTCTCAAACTTGTGACTCAAGCTATCCCCCCCTCCTTGGCCTCCCAGAGTGATAGGATTACAGGCATGAGCCACCACACCTAGCCAAGAATTTGCTCATGAAAAGTAGTTTGTGGCTTGGCACCTATAGCATAGTGGTTTTGGCACTGGCCACATACACCAAGGCTGGTGGGTTCGAACCTGGCCCAGGCCAGGTAAACAACAATGACATCTGCAACAAAAAAATAGCCGGGTGTTATGGCAAGCACCTGTAGTCCCTGCTACTTGGGAGGCTGAGGCAAGAGAATCGCTTAAGCCCTAGAGTTTGAGGTTGCGCTGAGCTGTGACGGCACAGCACTCTACCAAGGGCGACATTTTGAGACATTTTCTCAAAAACAAAAAAAAAATGAAAAAGAAAAGAAAATAGTTTGTGACCCGTCTGATTAAGAGTGAGACCCTGTCTCTACCAAAAATAGAAAAAACTAGCCAGGTATGGTGATACACACCTGTTGTCCCAGCTACTCGAGAGCTTCAGGCAAGAGGATCTCTTGAGCTCAGGAGTTGGAGGCTGCAGTGAGTTGTGATGATTCCTCTGCATTGCAGCCTGGGTGAGAGTGAGACCCTGTCTCTTAAAAAACGATAGGGCAGTGCCTGTGGCTCAATGGGTAGGGCGCTGGCCCCATGTACCAAGGGTGGTGGGTTCAAACCCAGTCCTAGCCAAACTGCAACAAAAAAAATAGCCAGGCTTTGTGGTGGGTGCCTGTAGTCCCAGCTACTCAGGAGGCTGAGGCAGGAGAATCACCTCAGGAGTTGGAGGTTGCTATGAGCTGTGTGGCAACACTGCACTCTACCCAGGGCGATAAAGGGAGACTCTCTCTCTCTACAAAAACAAAACAAAACAAAAGAGATAATAGCTTGTAATACTTGATAGTAACAGAAATGTGTCTGCTGAGGTAAGTTAGACAAAGGCATGAGAAGGATAGAGAGGCACAACATACTGAGTTTCCCTTTAAGGTACTCTCTCAGGAGTTGATTTTCATGTAGGTAGCTGTCAGGCAGTAACAAGAATAAAGCAGAAAGATGAATGGCATTAGTGTTTGAGTTACAGTTACCGAGACTTCAAGTATGAGGGCTCTGTCCTCCTGGTGTATTTTCTCTCCTTGGAGCACAGTTGCTCTGTAGCTGGGCCCTTGAGGTCTTTTCAAGTAGCCAATTATTACTGTAAAATAACAATTCAATGGCTTTTCTTTATACCAAAGACTCATCTTCAGACTTCCTTAAAACCATACTGCTAAAAGTAGATTTCTTGGTGTTTAGAGGTTTTACAATGTTCTGACACAGTATGGCCAGGTGTGCCTGCCAGCCTGCTAGCATGTTACAGGGAAGGAGTTTTTAGGCCTCATTCCCAGAGCTAGGCCTGGTCCGCATGGGTTTGCCTGGAGAAGGAGTTTCTGTAAAGAAGGAGTTTTGGTTCTGACACTGTCACAGTGTTTTCTGTGTAGTAATGTGTCTATCGTAGAAAAGGAAATTAAAAAGGTAGAATGAATAAATCAAGAGGAAGAAATTTCTCTCATGCCCATAGCCCAGGAAAAAAACACTGTTCCATCTGTAAGTGGTATGATCCTTCCACAAGTTTTACCTGTTGCTTTTATACTTACATATATGTTTTTAACAGAAAACTACTCTGTGTCTATTTGTTTCTTGCTATTCTTCGGGACCTGTTTCCATGTTGACAAGTACACACCTATAGTACCATCCTTGACAGTCACATGTTATATCTGATCTTCCCCACCCCTGACTCCATAGACAATAATTGGTTGCTTCGGGTTTTTTCTCCTACCCAATTGATTGGTATCTCCACAGCTCCCTCTGGGTGCCATCCTTGGCGTGTCCTGGGGATGGCATCCCTGGTAGTGGCCCAGTGGGATGGGCCTGCGTTTGACTCTTCCTTTCTCCCTTAAGATCAGCATTGTGGAGCTGGAGAAGAGCCAGCGGCAGCAGGAGCTCCTGCAACTCAAGTCCTGCGTGCCTCCTGATGACGCCCTGTCTACACACCTGCGTGGGAAAGGCACCCTGAGCCGAGATCTGGAGGCTGACCCCAGCCGGCTCCACCTTGAGCTAGACTGTGCCAAATTCTCACTGCCCCACTTCAGCAGCATGAGCCCAGAACTCTCCATGAATGGCCATGCAACCAGCTATGAGCTCTGTGGTGCCCTGAGCCGACCCTCGTCCAAGCAGAACACCCCCCAGTACCTGGCCTCCCCCTTGGACCAGGAGGTGGTGCCCTGTACCCCAAGCCATGGTGGCCGGCTGCGGGCGGAGAAGCTGTCTGGCCTAGCTGTGCCTGACTATACCAGGCTCTCCCCAGCCAAGATTGTGCTGCGCCGGCACCTGAGCCAGGACCATGCAGCATCAAGCAAGGCAGCCACCAGTGAGCTTCACCCACGGTGAGTGCCCTGAAGGGCAAGGGTTCAGCCCCTGCTGTTGTAGGGGATCTTCCCAGTGGGAACTCTTCAGTTTGGAAGAGTTCTGGGTGTTTGCTGGGCCCGGGAATAACTAGGTCTTCTTCCAGAGCTGAACACATCAAGGAGAATGGTCTTCCCTACCAGAGCCCTGGCACATCCAACAGCATGAAGCTAAGCCCTCAGGACCCACGGCCTCCTTCCCCTGGAGCCTTACAGCTCACCGGGGAGAAGAACAGCGAGAAGGTAGGACCCCCACCCTCTACCTGTGCTTCTAGGGCTCGCACCAATATTCTTTTAGCTTGGGAAGGGCGAGACCGACTGCCCAGGGCTTTGGTGTAGCAGGAGAGGAGGTCCTTCCTGGTCACCCCAGCATGGGGCACACTGTGGGGTAATGTTTGGCCTGGAGCAGAACCTGTGTGTCCAGTGGGGGCAGGTACTATGGAAGGTGTGGGGTTGGGGCATTGTCTGTCCTTGGGGCTGGGAGCATGCAGAGGCCAGCTTAGGAGGCCACTGCCCAAGGGGACCTGCTATGGGGGCCTGGCCAGTGTGTGTAGGGATGGATTGTGGGGAGGGGAGGGGCAAATCTTCCAGGGGAGCAGGTTGGGGTGGGAAGGTGGGGCCACCTGCTGGGCATCCTCTAAAAGTGACAAGAGTATGATTTT